GAGTTCATCTTCCCCCAGTATTAGGGTTGCTGCCCTGAAGTATTTAAACAATGTTGGCAGTCAGTGTTTTAGCAAATCTTTAAAGGTTATCTATGTTTCTTCAAGTGTAGAATTTTGGCATCAATTTTAAAAAGCGAATCTTCTACAAAATCTTTTTAATGACATGAATTTCTGCCTCACTTTGTTAATAATGTCACCCTGTCATCTGTATGCTCATTTTCACTTATGCCATCATTGTATATAAAAATATAATTCTATCTGCACACCAGAGACTACTTTCATCAACCTTCTAAAAGAGCATTGCTATTTTTTAATGCACTCTGTTTCCCTGAAATTTTTAATCTTAAGTCCTGTCACTTCCTTTTAATATGACACTTTGTCAGACTTGCAGCGCACCATTCTTCTAAAGAGGGAGAGCCAACACCAGGAAGTGATCCAAGAAAAGGCAGAAAATAGCTACCAAAACCATACAAATAAATGTAAAAAACCACAAAACTACAATGGTTCCTAGTTTAGCCTTTCGGATTTTTTGATGCTATTTTTTAAAAAACAAAATTTGTAATTCTTTGGGTGGCTAAAATTCTTGTAAATAAATGAATGTTATGCCTCTTCATAAGCATTGTTCTTTATTTTCACACTGTGCTTATTGCATGTTCCTGTGTTGTCACTGGAATTTTTGCTTGCAGTTGTCACTAGAGGTCAAGGTTAAAGTGATTTATTTGTTGGCAGACAGTTCCTCAATTCTGATTCACTTCACTGGAATTTTTGCTTGCAGTTGTCACTAGAGGTCAAGGTTAAAGTGATTTATTTGTTGGCAGACAGTTCCTCAATTCTGATTCACTTCACTGGAATTTTTGCTTGCAGTTGTCACTAGAGGTCAAGGTTAAAGTGATTTATTTGTTGGCAGACAGTTCCTCAATTCTGATTCACTTCCACTTATATATTTGGTCAGGATTCAGACCCATTCAGAGCTTGGGAATAAACTGAAATTGCCATTATTTACGTCCAAGTAGACACATACAGGATTACAAGAGAACACTTGGGTCTCACTAAAATGAATGTGAGAAGCTTACTTAAATTGCACTCATTTCCATAGGACTTAAGTATGGCTAAACTGTCAGTGTAAGAAGAATGATCAATAGTCCACATTAAATGCTACAAAAATGTCTCCTTACTAACTTCTCCAGTCCATCCTACTCCAACAGTTCTGAATCATGAACAATAAAATATCCTGCTGTCAACTGAGTGGATTAGAGACTAGTGAGGGAGGACACCCATTCCTTTTTTCCATCCCTTCCCAATTCTATTCACTTTTATTTTTCTCTCCCTTTACAACATCAGACTTCTTCCTTCCTGTTCATGTTAGGGTGAAAGATGATAAAGACAAGGAGGCAACAGAGTCAGGCACAGACAGCTATAAGGCCTGGTCCTTCCCTTAACATCTGTGTCAAAATCTGCAAGAAGGCAGGTGCACCATCATGATTGAAGCGCCACCCCTTTTGTACATGCATGCAATGTCACACACAGAAAAGGGTGGGATTTCTATCACAACCTCATTCCCATCACGCAGATCTGGACTCCTCTCACTCCATGGACACTGCTGGTCTTTCCTCATCTATCTTAGGGCTGGTTTACATAGTCCTTTACTGAGTAAGTAAAATAAGTGGCCACTAATGCACTGCCATAGAACAGCCTTTCCTAATTCCTGCTCCATAGTATACTTACCTGTACTTGTTTTAAAAATGCATACTCAGGCATCTAGCATGTACAGACTATTCTCAGTTGCTGAAAGCTGCTCATGTGGAGAAAATAGACGTTGAAATAAAACCATACACTTACTTTTTTGACCAGATACTAATTTAACTTCAGCTAGGTAAAAGATTATCTTAATTTGCTATGCAATTAGTGGTAACAATAACTTCAGTTCCAGCTTAGATATGATACATTTCATGATTCTTTAACAGCTTTACTGTAAGAGGAAGGGGGACCATTTGAAAGTATTTGTGAATCAACCTCTGAATTAGGGAAATTTGTACCTACAAAGTGTTTTGGATTATAGTTCGCACAACCCTCTTCCCACTGATGATGCTGGCCTAAGCTGAAGGGTACTACCAATAGAAGAGAACATATGTAGCTCATGGTTGAACTGTGGAGTCCTTGGGGTTCTCTGAGCTTGGTTGCTTTCTTGCAGACGTTTCATTACCTGACTAGGTAACATCTTCAGTGCTAGAAGGGTGTGGGGTTTCAGCTCTGTTTATATACGGTAGCTTGCCCTGTCAGTGTTGGTGGAGGTGTAGTTTTCTCCTTGGTAGTTCCTTGATTAGGCTGTTGTTTACCTACTGTAAGCTATTGTATATAAACAGAGAGCAAACCCCACTCCCTTCTAGTATTGAAGATGTTACCTAGTCAGGTAACAAACACATGCAAGAAAACAACTAAGCTCAGAGAACCCCAAGGACTCTGCAGAAGGGTATTGAAATATAAAATATCTGGAAGAGAGGAGATTACCTATCCTTGTCCTACATCCTTCCAAAGTTCCTGTTAAAAGAGGTATCTTGCTTTTTCATTAAAGGAGGTAGAATGAAGGATTGCATATGTAACTCTATTACAATAATACTATATTTGTATATTAAAAAAATAAATTGTAGTAGTTCCAATGGATTGCATCATATGTTGCTTCCTACAGCCATGAAGCTTAATTCCTACAGTTGGTTACTATACTGCATTTCCTAGGTTTTGGAAGAATCCCATATCTTGACACCCAAATAAATATGTTGCAGGAACAAGCCATCATATCTTAACACCCAGATAAATATGTTGTAGGAACAAGCCACCATGCTGTCTGCTTAACCCACCTCCTAGTCATGGGATCCTAGAGGCTGCTGCAGAGGAAAAGCTATTGCCAAGACTTCTTGCACAAGATCATAATATTTCCTGGGAGCTGAAATAATAATAATTTATTACAATTTATTTCCTGCTTGACAGATCACCTGTCAAGGCACAACTGCCCAAGGTAATATATAATATTAATAAATAATAGAAGTACAGTTATCTTGCATAACAGGCCCATAAAACTAAACTGCTTTCCATGTCCCTAAATTAAACATTAGCAACACAATTAACATGATGCAGAATTTCTGTTTTATCCATAGTATCACAGGAATGGGTTCCCGCACTACAGAGATCATGTAGAAATGAGCTGTATGGATGTGGCTCTGAATATTTAGGTTCTCTGGATAAGAACAGCTGCAAAACCAGCATCAGCTACAAAGCCTTTGGAATTTGCCCTCTGTATCAGAGAATAACATTTTGGTCAGTAGTCAAAAGGGCATTGTCACCATAAATGCATCACAGTCCTAGTTGGAACTGAAATGACCGTTTCTTCCCATGAGAAAGTTCCCATACGTTAAAGAACAAATTTTAAAGCCATCTGGAATGTTTAATCATCTTCTTGAGCTCACACTTTCATAATGGAAAGAGAACCCAGTGACAGGTGGGGCTCCGATGCTGAGGTCAGGTTCAGTAAATATGTACTAGAATCCTCAAAGCAATGCCTTCCTCCATTCTGTCATGTGTGTATCATGGCGAGGACCCAGCACAACTTGTTTTTAATAAAAGTGTTGTCACAGGTGCAATGGTGGGGGGGGGGAACCTTGCCCTTCAAGAAGATACAATAACTTGACCAAATACTGGCTTTGAATTGTTTATTTCATTCAGTGATGGTCAATGGACAAATTTTATTTTTTTCTTCTGTGTTGTCTTTTATGAATATGGTAAGGGTTTATATAAAGGGAGCCTGTGACTATGAGAATAGTTGCTTCAGTCTAATGTTCTTATGTGCAGCATTATCCATAAGTGAAACACTGCATACTGGATTCTGCCATTTTAATTTTCAGAAAGAGGAAGAGTATTTGGGGAGGAACACAGGTCAGACTGCCATCAGCATAGGTTGTGATTTTTAAGGAACCACCTACATTTCAGATCATGAAAAGCTGAGATTACAACAAATGCTGTCAAAACAGATTGTTCCTTCCTCCCCTAAATTTGGCCCTGGACTTTCTGTTTGCAGGACATAGGTGCTAAAAATATTTTCGTCATTAAGTGGCTACTGCTGAGCAAGGAATAAAGCAGTGTTCCTCAACCTTGGCAGCTTTCAGGTTTCTCAGGCAGCCATGCTGGTTGGGGAATTCTGGGAGTTTGGAGTCCATCCATCTGAAATCTGCCAAGGTTGAAAAACACTGGAATAAAGAGTTGCCTGGCTTTACAATGATCTGGATGGCAGAATCAATATGGACAGCAGCTCACATTGCTTCTTGGAATCAGACATGCGTTACACGGGCTGGGCACCTTCTTGTTATGTGGTATTAAGGATGAAATCCTGTGTTACTGGAGTCACTCATTTCTTTTGCCCTTGACCTCATCAGGATTTCATCCCAAAACAATTGTTGTCCTGCTTCTGCTTATATATGAAGAGGTATAAAAACTTAATCCTGTTCTGATCTGTAAGATGAATCCCACTCACATGCTATTTTATTATTTGATGAATTAACCACCCATGATTTTTATGGTGCTGGAAAGTTGAAACCACTGGCGTGTTCCACCACCCACCCTCCCTCCAGGCGATAGTCTATTGCTGTTGATTTCACTCTGTGGCTTTCACACTGAGTTCACTATTTTATTTAGTAACAGATCCTCTCAAGTTAAAGCACTTCCTAAATCTGCAGCTGCCTGTATTCTAATTCTTCAAACAGAAGTGTACTTACAACCATGTTAATAACTGAAATGGTACAGAGGTCAGTTTATATTATCCTGAATATCTTTGCATACACAAAGCTTTTATCTTTGGCCTTTGTTATTTACTGGGATAAAGCCGCCCAGAGTTACTTTGTGTGAGATGTGCAGCTATATAAATGTGATATATACATAAATATAAAAATAAATAAATAATGCTTTCAGAAAAGAGATTTTAAGAGTACATTTCTCCACATAATGGGAATTCTGTTTTAATTTAGCTAAGTGGGCTTTGGGCCTAAATTTATCAAAACTGTAGCCTCCTATACTTTAACATCAGTTTGTGGGGCATGAAAGACTGCTGAAATAGATTTTTTTTTAAAATTGAGCAAACTTGCCAGCATTTTTTTAGTTCTGTAAAAAAAATGTGCAACATTCAGCACTACTTAGTAACTTTGTTTCTTGGTATCCTTTATTTAGCTGTTGGTTAAAGCAAACACGTATGCAATACTTTTTTTCAAAGTTAATGAAACATTACTGTATTGTTTATATCGGATAATACAATAGTTGATAATGGTCAGTCACAGACAGGTACCCGTAATCACAGGTTGATGATGGTCTTGACTAAGGTGATGTATTTTATATAAATGTGTACAATAGACAAATGGTTGCACCTTTAAGAGCAATTTAGTATAAAAATGTAATGTACAAAGTATGTTTATGGTTCCTCTTCCCAAAGCATTCATTTTCTTCTGTGCAGCAAAAGCAAAGTTATGAAGGTGAGCAACGATATGGTGCCGATTGATCCCACAGCACTGAAGAAGAAACTCAGTAAGATGTCAACCCAACTAGGTGCCTTTGCTGTTCTCAGCAGCCTTTTGCTTTACCTCACGGACCTTGTGTCTAACAGCGTTCAGGTTGAAAACAAAAAAGTCAAGTGGCTAGAAAGCGTAGAAAAAAAGATGAGTTCAAAGCGTGAGCACCAAAGCACGAACCATGGCATTCGCCCTACAAAATTTCAACTTCTGCAGTCAAGGTTCATGAACAACCATCGGGAGCCTTACAGAAAGAAGCTAAGAGAAGTGGGCAAGTTGATTGTTAAAGAAAAGAATTATGCCCCTAAAAATGGGCTAACTTCCATTATAAGCAAGTTTGAGAGAAATTCATCAGCCGATGAAGAAAGCTCAAAGACAAGATGTCAAGAAAAAGCCAAATGGATTAGCTTATGTGGGAAAAATACTGTAAAAAATGTTCTTAAGAAATTTTTAGCTGCTGAGGAAAAAGAAGCTAAGGAGAAGCAGCCAGATCTAAAAAAGAACCTACCCATAATAATCAGTAAAAACTCTGTCTTCTCCTTAATAAAAGAAAAGTTTGAGCAAACTAGTAATGTCTGTTCAGCTATTGATGTGAGAACATTGTTACCACGCAAGGGGGAGAGAAAGGACAAAAAGCCTCCACACCAAAAAGCTATCTGCAAAGAAGAAATTAAAATACCAAAGGACAATCTGAGAGTAGCAACAAATATCAACAGCAATAATCCACAATATTTGGTTTGTACAACTGTCCCTATGCCTAAATTTTGTGTCGCTACTGAAATTAATCATCCTTGCAGTTGGGCAACAAATACCAAGTGTACCATTCAGCTTTCTGACAATAATCTTCCAGGGAGAATAATAAAGGATTCACAGGAAAAAAATGACATTCAACTTGGTAAAAATGGAATATCAGAACACAAGGAACAGAAAAGACAGTTGCAAAGGAAACATCATGAAATGCCTAAGATGGCAACTGACAAAGTAGACACAGCTGAAACTTCAGCAAGCCCAGTTCCTAACACAGACAACATTCCACTTTCAATGGAAAAGGTATTCCTTGTTGGCCACAGGCCTACTTTACCCATGTCCAAATTAGACCAAAATCAGAATCCTACATCACCTGAAGGTAGTATGTTCTCTAGCTCTGGGAACAAAAATACAACACAAACAGTTAAGAATGAAAACTCTTCTACTATTTGCCCCTCTATCACCTACCCTACTAAAGAAGTCAATGCACTTGGTCACCACGAAACTAAAGAAGATGAGATTCCTGCCATACCAGAAGGCATGTGTAGGTCAAAAGAGACAGAAATAGAATTAACAGCATCTGCAAAAGATCCTCCCTTTGCCAGCCAAAAATGTTTTCCTAAACAGAAAGTGTTGGAAAATATTCCACCATTTCACTCTCCTATAGCTCAGGCATCTTGTAACACTGAGCCTTCAATCAAGAACCAACAATCAAGTATTGAACCTGCTGCTGTGGACAAAATGTTTCTGAGTCAGAAGAATACAAAAGATTTTGGAAGCAGATTTTCTGATGCAATTCAGGACAAAGAAAAACTGTCTGATATTCCAAAACTTATCACAGATAATGATCATAAAGCAAAACAAGGAGGCCAAAACCTGTCTGACTGCCAGGTGGAAAGTAAGAATTTGCCCCCACAGCCCTTGAGCCAACGAAATATCCAGGAGAACACTAGGCCAAATTTTTCAAAAAAATCAGATCAAGCCCTCATCTCAAAGGAAAGAGATAATAGTGTAAACGGAAATGATCTTTGCAATGAATTTGAAAAACATTACTCTTCCTTGCCCAATGTTGTGAAAAAATCCAGTTCTATCATAGCAATAGAAAATGACAAAGCCAAATCCTGCTCAGTCAATGAAATGACGCATTCAGAAAACAACTATGGCAAGGAAAGGGTGAGCCTGAGTGATTTGGATAGCTCTCAAAGCCTCCTGAAAGAACTGCTTAGCCATGAAGACCACGATCTAATGGACAGTCCCGGACCTGCTTCTGAAAAATGTCATTTATCCTCATTAGACGATTCAGTGAAAGCAGAACTCAGTATTGCTGAAATCAACAGCCCTTTATGCAAAACAGGGAACCTTCCAATGCCAACCTCATCTTCGTCACCAAAGGATGAAAATGATTTTACAAGAGATAATATATCTCATTCTCATTCTAAGAAATGCCACAGCCCTTCTCCCAGTGACTCTCTAAAGCCCCAGGATGCCCTCAGACAAGATTACAAAATAATGCACAACTTGGGCAATGGTTTAAAAGAGACTGAAAATAATGTTGCAGAAGACAAAGACATTGGTCATCAGACTGGAAAGCATCAACTGTCTTCAAAAAGGAAGCTTAGGAGGCCTGAAAATACCCCTGCATGTCTCAAGCACAATGAAGAAATGCAACCAATGCCCTTGGGAAATGACACCAGAAGGCAACAAAACATGAAAATGATGTCAGAAGAAAAGTCTGAGAAGAGCTATTTCCCTTCCCAAAATGAAATAATGTTTCCAGGAAGCAAAGATGCAGGGAACAGGGATTTGCCTGAAACAGCACAGCGTCTGGCTTCTTTATCAGTCATCAAAAGGGAACAAGAGAAGAAGAAAACAGAAGATGAAAATCCTGTACCAAAGACGGTACATATTTCCAAACCTTCCCAGAAATCAAGAAAAAATGAGTTTACAAAGAATGATGGTGGTATAACAGAAACAAATGTTTCTCAGACACAGCAGTCAACCCCATCTAAATCTAAATCTAAATCTAAATCTAAATCTAAAACTAGTAATCTGGAAATAGTCAGCAATTCAAAATGCCAAACACCGCCAAGGGAACCAGCGAAACAGGAAGGCGTTACAGAACAAGATGACACTGTTGAATCTTCTATTGTCAAACAGTCAAAATACCAGATACCACCAAAGGAACCAGTGAAACAGGATGGTGTTACAACTCAAGATAATAATACTGTACATTCTATAGTCAAGCACTCTGTACATTCTATAGTCAAGCACTCTGTACATTCTATAGTCAAGCACTCTGTACATTCTATAGTCAAGCACTCTGTACATTCTATAGTCAAGCACTCTGTACATTCTATAGTCAAGCACTCTGTACATTCTATAGTCAAGCACTCTGTACATTCTATAGTCAAGCACTCTGTACATTCTATAGTCAAGCACTCTGTACATTCTATAGTCAAGCACTTGTACCTCCTACTGTCAAACAGTCAAAATACCAGATACCACCAAAGGAACCAGTGAAACAGGATGGTGTTACAACTCATGATAGTAATACTGTACATTCTATAGTCAAACACTCAAAATACCAAACATCACCGAGGGGACCAGCGAAACAGGAAGGTGTTACAGCACAAGATGATGCTATTGTACCTCCTATTGTCAAACAGTCAAAATACCAACCACCACCAATGGAACCGGCAAAACAGGAAGGTTCTACAGCACAGGATAACAATTCTGTGCCTTCTATGGTCAAACATTCAAAATGCCAAACATCACCAAGGCAACCAGTAAAACAGGATGGTGTTACAGCACAAAATAAGAGCACTATAACACCCCAGTTCCCTTCACTCAAGAAGTCAATGAAAGATGGTGATAATACATGGGGAAGTAATGCTGAGGATAATCTTCAGAATGAAAAAATGTCATCATCTTGTAACAAATTGAAGCCTGGAAATAATCCAGAAAACATAAGAGAGAATAGTAGTAATTCAGTCCCCGACCAGTTACCTTTCAAACACAAAAGCTCAAAAAGCCAAAAGAATAGTGCAACAGGTGAGACCATTCTGAATCCTTTTAAGAAAAATAAAATGCCACTGTCACCAAAAGAATTAAAAACAGACCCCAAAAATGGGGCAGCTGCAATTCCACAAAAGCCATCCTTAAATGACTCTAGAAACCCTCACCTGATTGCTAAAGGCAAAAAGGAAGAGCAGTGGGATACTAAGAAGTATCAGTTGCCCTCACCAGATGTGAAACTGGATAATCAGCAGGATGATAATGTGGCAGGAGGGAAGGAGCTGCAGCAAATACAAACACCAAAAGGTTATATCAAATCAAAATCTAACATAGGAATTAAAATGTATAAACATCAACAACCTGAGCAATCTTATCTGCCCTCCAATCTGGAAATACACGAGCAGAATGCTCATGGAAAAAAGGGTTCCTCGAAAAACTTTGACAAATACAGATTTCCACCGTTGAATCATGATAAGGAAAAAATGGGCTGTGAGCATGATGAAGACCCTAAATTAGGCTCATTAAACAAGACCCACCCACCCAAACAGAAGAATACACAGCACTGCTCTAGCAAATACCAAATACCAGGAGCAAATTACTTATCTAGGCTGAAATATGGAGAGTCTAAAGAAGTTGGGGCTGCTGCAATAGATGAGAACAAAGCTAGATTACTGGATTTTGAAAAATACAAAGCAGAAAGTTACAGTGAAAAAGCCATACCATTGTCTTTTAAACCACTGATTATTCGGGTAATTGATACAATTAAGCTTGACAACTGAAATAACTTCAAATCCATATTCCATTGATGGAAGCCTGTTCTCTTTCTGCTATCATTTCCCTTGAGAGCACTGAAACCACATGGAGATGGCTCTCCAGTGATCAATTTTGCCATTAAAATAACATAATTGAAATCTCATGGTAACCAAGAGTAAACATAGTCTAAGATCTATGGGAAATCTTAGATGCAGCATTTAAGGGAACAATGTAGGCATGAAACAGAATAAAATGGGATGGTGAAGCATGGCATTTACTATTTCAGACTGCATCAGGAAATACATAGCCTAGAAGTTCTTGGTTTCTTGTAATGGAGAACGGTGATGTTTGTCATGCATGGACAAGTTTGTCCCTCACTTTTACTTTGATGATAGGAATCCTAAAAAGATGGCAGGGCCCATTTTACCATCTCTGCCTCCTACCACCTTTTTCTGCTACACTGTATACTCAGCCAAAATAAAACAGTTATGCCCTTTCTATTAAAATAAACAAAATTAACAGCAAAAACAATAAAAGGTTCCAAGGTTCATTAAAAACAAAATCTTGGAGCATAAGCAATGAATGATTACGGAACTATTAAGGAAGCTCATGGAAAGGAAATGTCATGGCCTTTGTTACACATCATTCATAAGAGTCTTCTCCCCTGTCTTTTCTGAACTGGCAAATATTCCTCCAGTTAAACTGCCTTAAGATAGTTTTATTAGGGTTCAGCTATAAACATTGATTATGGCAGGTCTGCATATATACATATCCATAAACTATTCTCTTTCAGAGTAACTAGTGTTATGCAAAACATAAAAAAAAGAATGAGAAGAAGTAAGCAGAAGAAACTAAAGGCATGAGGTAAGGAAAAGGAAAGGAGATATAAATACATCTAGCTTATATCAACACCATTTACTATACCGCTCCATATGCTTCAATCCTTGCAGACCACCCCTGCTTTTACAATATCTCTACACTGCTTCATACATTGTCTTTTCTTCTTTAACTTCTCATCTTTTTCAAGAGGTCATCATCTCCATCCAACCATGACTTTCTCATTCTTCTCCTTCCTTTTGTCCCATTCAGTCTTCCTTTGTATATTTGTTTTGGAATTTGATGGTCATATCTTTTGTCTATATGATCAAACCACCTCAACATACTTCTTTTGTATTGATAGCACCCCTTCACTCTTGATCCTACCTCTCCTTTTTTTACCCCATTCTCTTCTTAACCTCACTGTTTCAAGGCATCCAATTTACTTTTACATTTCTCCTGATGTACTCAGGTGTAACTTCCACATAACAAAGTGAGCAGAAGCATACTTTTATACACAGTCATTTTCACTTCTTTTGATAATATTCATTCCTCACAACAGGTCACATCCTGCTCAATATCTCTGTACCAGTAACTGCATGTCTTAAAGTTTCTACATCCACAATCAAACGTTATGCTATGATAAAAGTGCCAATCTTCACAATCCCACAAAACTGCTGGTTTTTTAATCCTTAGAAATTAAAAAATTAGGATTAAAAATGTATGATTGGTACTTTAGGAGTTTATGAGGAGTGGGAAGAAAGACTATACAAGTTAATGGACAATTTCAGAAATCTGAAAAAAATACTATACAAATTATCAACCAGCTTTGGCCAGGATTGCTAAATGGAATCTCTATCTATAGAAGTAGATTCTCTGAAACCCTTATCCTGAGAAAAATGACATTGCCTTCATATGCTCTCCTGATGGGTTTCCTGCAGGCATCTGGCTGTTTGTTCTTGGAAACTGAATGTGAGATGACAGGTAGTCCTCATTTAGCAACCCCAACTGGGACCAGCAACTCAGTTGTTAAGTGAAGCAGTCACTAAGTGAAACTGTGACTGTGTTTATGATCTTACTTCAGCTTTCCTTTGCTTTACAGTCCTGCGAAGGTTGTAAATGCGAGGATTGGCCACACAAAGTTACTTTTTCAACACCTTTGTAACTGTGAATGGTCACTAAACAAGTCAGTCACTAAATGAGGACTACCTGTAGATGGCCTTGACATGAACTAGAAGAGGCAAGAAACAAGGATTTCTTTTTAACCCTTGTTATACTTCAGCAGAGCTTAACTTCAGCTGCAGCAAGACTGAACTGCCTCTCCTGGCTAAACATTAAGATTAGTAATCCTTCTCATTTGAACTTTATACTGTGTGTACTTGTTCTAATAAAATGGAATGAATGGCTTGGGACTTTGGAGTAAATTATACAGGCCCTGAAATCCTGCCAGTGTTTGATTTTTGATTGCTTTTAAAGGAAGCTGAGAAAACAGTCACACTAACTAAAATGTAGAAGAAATAATACAAATATACAAAAATAGAGCTTTTAATACAAAATCATCATAACCAAAAGCCATTTTGATCTATTATACCCAAAGGTTATTAGAGTTTGCCAATTAAATTATGTTGTAGAACATATGCAGGATTTCAGTATTAATTTCAAAGGAGCATATAATGAGAATCTTATTGAACAAAATACAGTATAAAGTTATTTTATAGAGTGGCACAGTAAAATCTTGACTGAAGATTTATTATTTTATTATGGTGGGAAAGTGTTGATACTGTCTTGTGTTTGGTGCCTTCTATGAGTCTAATATTTTCATATACTTTATGGCTTTATCATTTTACATATCATCCCAGTTAATCATTTTACACATAAGACTTCTGAATGTGGCAATAATATCAAATGTTGTACTGTGTGGGATTTGCAGAAAGTTGAGAAAATTACTGGAACATATGTGGAACTTTTTTACTGTAAAGGGTGACCAGATCTCAGGAGTTAATTATGGAGCAAGAAAGAGAGAATGACTTCAGAGCAGCCATGGACTCAGTTACTCACAAGCATGCCTGTGATGTGAACACATCAGAAAAATCCAAATCCAAATGCAGGAGCCGAGTGTCATCTTAAAATCAAGATTATAGCAACCAAATTCTCTTTTAAGAAATGAAATCCACCAGCAGGTGACCAAGGCAACTGCCTTAAAAGAATGTGACTTTGAGGAATTAAACAAAACATTCATAGACGCTGTCAGAAGTTTAAAGAAAATCAGTTTTAGTTTGCTTTGATCCTGTCAGCCTTACTAGGTAGACCAGACAGGAAACACGACCAGATGCACTAATTCTACTTTATTGTAAAGCTACATTAACAGAATCTTGCAAGACTGAAAGTACAATTCTCCTCCTTTACAGGTCGAGAAACTAGGGAGAGTCACTTCCGGGCCTCTTGTCCCACTCACTATCCAGCTGCAGGCTATGCTC